TGTGTGTGTGTGTGTGCGGTGATTAACACCAATGCCTCGGCTCTCAGTAGCAGAGAGCGATCTTGTCCACTGATAGATACAGTAAAAGCCTTATTTTACTAAATGCCCCTTTAACAGAGATACTGTTCAGCTACAACTTATTTAAATAAGTAATCTATGCAAAATTCAGCTGTGCAGTATGATGTGATCGTTATTCTGGATTATGGGTACGATGATGAGGCACCTTGAAAGTAGGCCTTTTTGCCAAAAAACCAGAGACATCACCAAAGAATCCATTACCACAATAAGGAACCACAGCCATGTGTACTGTGTGACGTTTTCTTCAACGCAGTGATAATATATAAAAGTAAAAAAGCAAAAATATCCCTCCCATGTGTCCGATAGAGAGCATAGCAACCATTCCCCAGGCTTATAAAGCATGGCTGGAATGTCTTTTTGGCTAAATCAGACAATGCAAATGTTAATACTCAATGTGCAAACTACACATAGATGTGAATCCAAAACAATACCTTAAACCCACCAAACTTCTGTTAGTGAAAATTTAACACTTTAAGCAAATTCAGCTGATCAATGCCAACTGCATAGGAAGCCACAAAGACCAAGACGTAATTGTAGTGGAAAGTTTGGAACGTAATTGTAAAGTTTGATGTGTTTGATTTTAATTTGGTGGAGTCTAACCAGCTACCCAGAAAAAGGAACCTCACCTATTCACATACTTGAAAATACTGTAATAGAAGTGTAGACATTAATCTGACCTGTCGGTCATGATTCCACTATCCAACAAGCCCATCAGTAACAGACAAGGCCAGGTTACTGGCACATTGAGATCTATATATAATATACATAGTTAGCAATTGGCTACTGCTGTAAGCAGGAAGAGAAGTTCACATTCTGGTTCTCTCCAACAGAGCATTTCCATAAGGGAATGATCAATACATAAACATTGATGCAATGTTTCCAATCTAACCTTAACCGAAATCCACCCTTCTTCTGCTCAAAACGTAACCCTCGTGTTAGTGATATTGTCCGAATAAGGCCAAAGCAGAGAGCAGTTCTGACTGGTGATAAAGGTTAGTACAAGTGGATGTTTTTTCTTTCTTTTTTTTTTTGGCTCTCAAGGAGTTACGCAGTGTAAACTTTGAGCTGCAATGGATTGTGTACTTTTAAGCACCTAGCCTCGTGATCAAGTTTTGGCTTTGGGCAACACGACACCAACAGTAGCCAGCAAATCCTCTGGAGGCAGGGAGTATAAGTAAAGCATGGATCGTGGAGTCTTTATCAGTCCGTATGTCCTCCATCTGCTGTTTGGCTAAATGTTGTTGATCCATCCAATCAGCTTTCTGCATTAGACAGCCCAGATCTTCTTCTGCTGGAAGTAGGCATCAAATCTGGCCTGGGCATACTCCTACAATACAGTCAAGTATACATTAGTATATATACACATATGTATAGATGATCATCAAAATCTAAAAAGCTTATTCCAAGGTAACAGGCATAATTATTTTCATGTGATCGTGCACTAATGAAAACATAGTATAGTGAATTTTATATTCCATTTCTGCCAATAGAGCCTCCTAAATGTTACACACTGGACCTTTAAGTTAGTTAATGTTAGCAAAATGCTAGCTAACCAGCTTGCTAGTCTACATCAATCATTAGCTAATGTAGATTAGCTAGCTAGTTGTTGTTAGCTAGTTAGTTGTCTTTTCAGCACAGAAGAGCCTAGCATATAGCATATCTGAGTACAGGAAAGGATGATATTGACCGAGGTTTTGACTGAGGCTTTCTCAACTGTTATTGGAGCATAGACCAAAAAGGGGCGGGACTTAGGAAGGATTAACTGTGAGACAGTTGTGGCAGAAAGAACCTTCCTCTGTCTGTCGCTGTAATCTTGTCAGACTGCCACGACCTGACCTCTTCTGACCTATTCTTTACACAGTAAATATTGACATAGCATCACCCTCCAGGATAACACTGCTTATGTTTCACTGGCTGCCTTTTACATTTGCTTTTCTCATCAAACATAGAAGCCATAAAAATTCAAAACAAGCATGAAAGTCAAAAAAACCTGTACTCACCAGGTATCCAAACTTGATGGTGGAGAGGCGGGCCTGGATGATGGACCACAAGCCCCAAAAGAAGTGGGATGCCAGGGAGAACCTACATTCAAAAACACATGGTCACTCTGTTATGTGCTCTTTCTTTACCTTTCCATTGTCTTGTACTGTGTCCTACATCTGAGCTCACCTGTTGACCTCCACGTACAGCTCCTCCTTCACTTTCATTTGATCCTCTTCACTCAGGTTGTCAAACCCTGGGTCAGACTCACGCAGGTAGCTGTCAATGAAGTGGAGCTGCACAGAGACAAGACAGGTTAACACCGGTCAGAGGTTGACAAGTAAAACCAAATAAATTAAACGTTTAGTATTTTAACATATTATGCGCACCTGCTGGGCTTTTGAAGGGTAGGCCTGAGCGTTGACTTTGAAGAAAGGTAACTCGTCGCAGTTGTAGTCGTACATCCATTCACAGAAATGGTTGCCAATATCGAAGCCCCTGTGAGGATTACAGATGGAGAGAGACAGAGAAACAGTTAGAGATGACTGACAATGCCTTTACATTAATAAATACTACATCCGGTGGTGTCTATCAGGTTGTACTTCATAACTGAATGTGTTTGGAAGAGTTTGATTGTTTTGTCTTCTGGAGGGAAGTAGACTGTTTAGAAATGATGTTGTATCTGGATTTCAAATGTGAACTTATTTTCTACCTCAGTCCTGCCACTGGGCGAGGACTGTTACTGTCCCATGTTGAAAGCTGAGCAATCAGAACAAGACATACTGGTGTGTTTGGGTGTTGCTTTCACATCTAACTAGTAATTAACATTTCTTAGAAACTTTCCATTGTCTCCCCCTTTCTTGATTTTGTTTTTGTTTTTGTATAGGCGAACAAGAGATCTTGTTTATCAGGAAAATTTACTCACTACCTATCCAAAACCAGCCCTGATGCCTTTTGTGCTCCCTAGCCGACTGCACTGACGCACTGTGTTTTTGGGTTAAAGGAACAAAACACAGCCGATGCGGTTTCATTCCTCTCCAGCTGACGCCCAGCAAGCGAGGGAAACGACTGCTGTCAAGTGGCTTTAGTTGAAAAATAATAATGGTTCACTGCTCTTTTGGGAAGTGAATGCAGCAGGGTTGCTGAAACTATCTGTCAAATTAATCAGAGGCTGTTTTTTTACAATTCAATTTGAACTAAAGTTGGAATAAGAAACTAGAAGATATCAATGTGGTATCTTAAAATCTGTATCTGTCAGTAATTGTGACATTTATTTAATAAAAATACAAATAAATTCAAATAAAAAAAATCAACCAACACTATTAGTATTGAAATTAATAACCAATTAAAGACAGCATTTAAACAATGGATAAATAATAGTTAACAGATTTATAAAGTTTACTTTCCATTTCACAAGGCAGGAACAGCAAGTAACAACAGATGGAAGTGGGTAAGAAAACAACAAAACTGTTCTGTGCAGCTGTCTCAATTTTGCCTGAGGGGGGCCATGGTGTCACACTTTCAAAGCCTGTGGTCAACACCAAAGTGGTCCACATCCACACAACCCCGCTGCAAGAGGGACTCAAACTAAGCAGCAAATATATTCATACAGCAGGAGAATTAAGACCTGTCTCTAATAAAGCCTGTATTTGTCTCTTCAGAATGTACGGTAACTACTGAGAGCCGAACAAACAGACATACACCTATTGTATAAAGCAGAGTCATCCCCTTCTGTTCCCACATCGAGCATCCATTTGTGGGCGTGTTCTTTACATGATAGACACATGCTCACGTGTTTGAAATGTGTGCGCAGTTTGTCCTTTGTATACACTTGCTGAGCAACATATGAGGAGACTTAAAGGGGCACCGCTG